TAGATATTTCGAAGCGATATTGTTTACTTCTTTTGTACTTGCATAGATCTATAGTATAGAGTCATTTACATAATATTCTATTCGACTTACCTTTTTTACCTTACCATCTAGGAAAAAAATGGTAAGGATGGAAGTGTTAGGAAATTTTCTTGGAGATTTCAATGAAATATATAAAAACATAATTTACGGTTGCATTTCAAATATATTAAATAAACTTTTGTGTTTTTTTAGAGTTAATATGTTTGTTGTTTTTAGATTCCTCCCATTTTTTATTACAATGTCTTATATTTGCTTTAAGTTTTTCATGTTCCTGATTTTTTCAGCCTTAGGTAACTCATCCCAAGACAAATCGGAAATAGTCTGGATTCTGTTAGAAAACATCAAAACAGAGGTGTTACAAAAATTATTACAGAGGAATACTAAAAAAAAGATGATCAAAAACTATTAATACTTTACATGAGAAAGTATACGAAAATTTTCAACGAAGAATTGTTGAAATAAAGAAACGAAAAACTACAAAATTTCGAAATGCCGCTATAAAAAATTACAGGTTGGATAAAGGGTTATTGAAACCAGTCAAAAAACCGTTTTCAATATCCCCAATTGTAAAATGTAGTTTCGTTTCCTTTAAGAGTGTTATTTTGCGGAAAAAATATTTTAAAAAATATATCAGGGACATTTTTCTCACAACATGTTTTCAATATTTTCATTTGATCCTTTTAAGAAATCTCGGAGATACAAACAATTAGGGATTGTAGCACATATTTGGAATTTAGAATTATGTTAAAATGTGTGTGGGATTATGTCATCGAGAACTGGAACATTTCCCTGTGGGTTCTAACACGGAGAGAGCTCCTCGGGGTGTTAATTCTTTTGTATAATTCGCACCGTTACAATATAATGCTCGTGGTAGCCTATTTTGCAATTCCACGGAAAGATAATTCGAAATTCTGACTCCTGTGCCTCGGCAAAGTATTTTTTATGTTATTAAATAATCCTATAATTACTGAAATGTTCATATTAACATGAACATATGGAGAAACTTGTCACAAATTTCTTAAGTAGTTTTTGAATAATTTATTTGAATGTGGCAAAAATAATACATTATATTCTTTATCAAGAACACCAAAAAGAATTGTAACTAAATAAAAATTCGTCAGCAACCCTTGTGGATGATTAGCATATTGTCTTGAGATCATAGAAAATTGGAACCGTTCGTAAAAATATTTGAAAATTCACATACAAGATGCTCCAATTGAAGAATAATTTAATTTTCTATTAACAGTATAATTTTTTCCTTACAAAATTTTGCCCAAACCACAATAACTGTTTCCCCAAGCGTGATCGCTAATTTATAATTTCTCAAATACTAGTTTTCTAACCCCACCCAACTCACAGCATTGCATTGCGCAGGACTTGATGCGCGCACTGACTGGGCGTAGGGGTTTTGATAGCAGGTCCGTTCCCGCAGAGTTTAGCCCGAGAATAACGAGAGCAGTACAAAAATTCTAGCTATAAATGTTGAACACTATGAATTCTAGCCATAAATATGGATCGCTTTCACCCTATTTTTTAGAACTTATTTAAGTTTGAAAAATTTTTCGTTGGAAAACCATTGAAATAAACAGATAAAAAACTAAAACTATGCTACAGATGACTTCAGACAATGTTGTTACCTACAGAGGACTTTTGAAAGGAATTATATATTGATGCACCGCTTATTTTCCACATAAAATTTTAACGGACGTGGAGAATATAGATCTGCTTGAAAATTTGAATTGCAAATAGAGAAAAGAACACAGAGATTAATATACGATCGTACCAATTGTCGTTGAAACAACAGGTATCCTACAAAAATGTTAGTCTAGTTATTTCAACCTCACATATATGTTTGATAGAGTTTAGTTTGCTTTGATTATAAACTGTATCCATTGTGTGATTTTTATTTCAGAACATATAGTTAATTGTGTGACACTTTCTATACACTGTTATTATTATCTCCTATTTTTACGCATTTTTTAAACAAATATTGTGCTCAGGTACATACAGAAAACTTTACGTATACCATGTACGATATATAAATCAAATAAATCGCCAGATATTAATTTTTAGAAAATGTTTTTGTCTCATCTTACAACAAACAGTTGTTAAATTATTAAAAAACACTAAATTAATAGTATTTAATTAATAATATTTAACTAGTTATTTCCTAGATATTAGTATTGTAATTAAATGATAATTGGGGCTTATAGCACATAAAAATATAGTTTTTGAGACAATTTTTAAAAATAATAAGCTTTTTAAAACGTTTTATTATAAACAAAGCTTCTGTTGCTCTTCAATATGTTTTCGACATTTGCATTGCTAACGGTTGGCAACCAACAATACGACATATGCTTTCATGGTGGCAAGCACCTAGGTATGTAGGTAGTAAATAAATATCATTAATAAAAAAAATGTTTCTTAATCCTTTACTATACAGCATGGATTGTTCGGTATATCTTCTTGTACATTTCTTATTTTGTATAGTTATAAAAACCAAATTATAAAAGATCTACAAAATAGCAATAGTTGGACAAAGTCACTTTTGTTAGCTCTTATGACCCATAATAATCTCGTGGAAGGTAAAGTTTAACTTTTAACTTAACCATTTGAGGTGATTATGTTTTGTAAAAATACCTATCTTTTAATTATTATCTTCCTAGCACTGTACAACGTATGAAAAAAAAAAATAACATGATAATTTTAGGAAGGTCTTTTGGTGTTATTGCATAACTTACACCTTTACCTAGAATTATTTTTTTAGATATCGTCGTAAAGGAAATAGGTATTGCTATTTGATGATTTGACAAATAGCTCCTTATAGTGTTTTCTGATTTTGTAAGAAAATATTCCATATCGAACTGGTTTACGTCTAAGGCTATAATAGTCTGAGAATAAGAGTAAATCTTGAGCTTTTCACTGCTTATAGAAGAAATTACATCAATAAAAAAGTAATTATTGATACAGAGATTGATGAACTAGGTATTAGTACAAGAAAAATTGCTACACTTCTAGTTTCTCGAAACTTTTCTCTTTTCATTCTTCTTATCTTCATTTTATGGTCCGGAAAAGCAACTGCTACTATAAATCGAATAACTATCACACTGAGCATATACAGGGTGTGGCGTGTATAATCTATAAAAATTAAACTACAGCTTCCTGATGACATTTATAATAGAAAACTCTTATACGAAAAAGTTCTATCTTCGAGTTTTTTTTTTTGTAAATTAAAGTTCATTTATTCAACTAAAATGAAGGCCGACCCTGTGTTATTTTTTAAAAACTTTGGAAATGTTTTTATGCGACCCGAGATGCAACCTTATAATTTAATCTAATACTAGTAATACTAAAAGAAGGTTAGGTTACATTGTCAAAAAATTTGTGCAGGCAACTGATTTTGTATTTGTATTGAATTCATTATTCACATCACTTAATTATTAAATATTAATCGACCCATCAGTGTTAAAAAGTAAAAGATTCCAGACAAAAGTTTTTATTTTGTAATTCCACGATAGTGACAGTGTAATTTTTATAAAGAAGTAAAAAATAAGAATAGCGTTCCGATTACATTAAACACGAGATTCTTATTTCTCACTTTGTATAATTTTTTAGTTTGTGCACAAATTAATTTTACAATGAACCAAGAAAACAATGTATTTACTATTTCCGAACGTGTCGATATGGTGTTAGTGTATGGTGCAGCCGGAGAAAATGCGCTCGCGGCGACTAGGTTGTACCGGGAACGACGCACAGTGGGGATATTTGTATGGAGGTGAGGAAAAAACATTTTTTTTTTAATATAGTAATTTAATGGCTGCTGTAATTTTATTTATATAGTAGAACATAAAATAATTCGGATTAAAAAATATATATATATTTGAGGGTGAAAAGTATCAAAACTAAAAAAATTGAGTTATATGCAGGAATCAACACTTAATACCAATATCTATTACTCTATAGGTATGTATTAGAAACCAAAAATATTATGTATGAAAATGCGTGTCAAGTTGCAGCAGCTAACGCTCCCCACCCTTCCGAATTTACGAACTCCAACAAAGCTAATTCCCTATGTAGCGTTCCGTTATAAATGCAACTAATTAAAAAAGAGCACCTAGGAACACTTGAAATTGATTTAAAATGTAGAAGCTGGTATTAGACAATGTGTTGGTAGCGGTTTCCAACTGTAAGCAAATGTAGCTAAAATTAGAGGTCCAAGTGTTTGGACTTTTTTATTCTATGTTCATAAAAATATTTTTAAACAGAAAATAAAAGTCTCTGCAATGTTTATTATTTCAATTTTAGCTTATTGAAATATCCTATTTTAAATAAAAAACAAAAATAAAAATGTCAGCTCAAGCAATAAAATAATATTCGTCTTGAAATTCTTAGGTTAAATTTCAGTCAGTTCAATAAAACATACAAGTAATAAGTTTGAAATGGAATGATTTTAATGGAGTTTGTTTGGTGCACGCAGTTGGCAACTATAGATGCTTACGGATGTGGTTTTGTTTGCGAACTCTTGCAGTAACAACAATGCATTTAAGATAGTAATTATTATTAATTTACAATAAGAAAATATCAGTTTTTTTTTAAATATCTATATTTCTTAGTTTGTACCGTTGCATTGAAAAATTCCCTAAAAATTGAGAAATATCTTTCTATCATTTAACGACGATTTGTCTATGCGGCTGGTCTACAGCATGTAACTCATCGCACAGCACACGGAAATGACGGTTCCAGAGAAAATATTTTGATCCATAATTGAACCTTAATTTACAAAAAAAATCGCAAAAATAGAACTTTTTCGTATAAGATTTTTCTATTACAAATATCGTTAGGAAGCTGTAGTTTAATTTTTATAAATTATACACGCCACACCCTGTATAAAAAGAGTGTTAACATTACAATAACAAATTAAAACTGAAAAACAAGTTTTTATTAAAAATTAACAACCCATTTAACTAACAGAACGTAAATTACAAATAAAAAGATATATATTACACATTTAACAATTATTAATTACCTATCTAGATTACATTCTCTTCAAATAACTAAATAAATTTCAAAAGCAATCAACATTAGTTATATAAATGGCAACCGATCAACAAAAAATATTATTTTATACACCTCCTAACAGAGAATAATGTAAAAATATATTTTATTTAAAACATTATTACAAATACGATCAGTATCTTATTGGAGTCCAAGTACCGGAATGTTCGTCTCTTCTGTAGTAATGAGGGCGATTATCCCTAAAGACAGTCACTGCCGGAAACTGGTTATCCTGGATATACTTCAGTGTGGCTCGAATCTATAAAAAAAACTTACTTAAGTTTTGCAGTACAGAAAGTAAATAGCAGTGACAGTGCAAACAGTACAATTCCTAAACTTTTTCTTAAATTTGATGCCCAAATTTGTCATCTTACGTCACATAGTGGTAATTTGAAGGACACCAAATGCAAGAAAAATGACATCAGTAAATAGCTTCAGACAATATCTTCTTCATGACCTCTTCTTCGATATAATTGACTTATCTGGAGATTCAAAGGATTCTTCCTTGTCATATTACTATTTGGCATTTTGTTTTTAAAGAAAATACTTACTATGAAGGAAAAATACTAAATACACACGATGAAGAGCTTATTTATTCGTTCACAATGTTACGATGCATAATACACAAATGGTGTCAGAAAACCATAATGGATTTTTATTGGTCCTCTACAATGGGATGCAAATAATCAAGAAAGTGGAGTCATTTAAAGAAAATCTCCAAAAGTTTAACAAATCTAACCCTTCCTTCCCAAACCAGATGGATATTTTTTAAGAAACTTTTCTCTCTATATATCAGCAGTGGTTCAATGTATTGTCCACAAAGAGTTTATTCCACAGGGAAAAATCTTAGTGCACAATTCTATCTTAGCATTTTGAACCGTCTGGTGCATCGTATTCGGCCAGAATATCGAGCAGAAGGAATTTGACGTTTGTCGCACATCGATCGACACTTGTGCCCGATTTTTTTTTTACTAAAAGTCGCATTTTAGCTGTCAACCTTTCTCCACACTCGCCTGATTTGGCACCGTGCGTCTTTTACCTTTTCGGAAAAATGCAATTGCAGATGATAGGAAAGCGTCTTGTGGACGTAGAAGCCATCCAAAAGATACCGATATCCTGAAGGACATCTCATACGTCTCACACTCATTCAACACTCATTTTTCACACGCATTCAACATGCCATCTCACACTCATTTATCATGCTTTTAGACCATGCGAATCGCTGTATTGAGTCAGAAGAGGCTTTTTTGAATAAAATAAATCTGTTCTTATTTTTAAAAGGTCCTGTTTACTTGAGAGGGCACCTTATATAGTACTATATTTTGAGAAATCTTTCCATTAGTGTAATATTTAGTTTATCTAGACCTGTACAATACATATTTTGAAAATACACACCTGCATGACAAAGTGAGGAGGTTCCACCTCTGGACATGTTGACAGATGTTGTAGAATGAAATCATCACTTTGTTCTAACCACAAGTCTACTCCTCTCAATGGTTCATAGTTAAATGGTCCAATCCTTAGCAGTCCTAAATTGCAGTCATATATGTCTAAGACCTAAAACCAAAATATAATAGTAAATTTCATCGGTATGATAATAAAATAATATTGCTTTTACTGAATCCAACACATCACTTTTTACAGAAAGGGGGATTTGATCAAAAAAGTTTGTCACGAATTCTCATTATTTGTTAAAGACGATTCAGTTAAGTCTTTAATCATTGTTTTTATGGCACATTCTTTTAGGTAGGTATATCTTCATTTCCATTAGGGATACATTCATTAATTTATTCATTAATTTTCCTTTAAAATGTATTAATTATTATTATTATTTGAATTATTATGGTGACTTGATATCAGTGATGTTCCTTTTTTATTATTATAACCTATTAAATCACTTGGGGGTGTCCTGTATTTAAAAAAATTATCAAAAGTTTTTAATTTGCATCGACAGCTAGAGGTTAGACGAATATTTTTCTTGTAAAATAATTTATGAGGTGGCAAGAGGGGAGTTGGAGCTCAGGCTAGCTATGGATGAGTTAAAGCAGAACAATAGCAAATATTTTCTGATTTCGCTACATGGGAAGGCTCCTTTATACATATTTAGCCACATGATTTAAGAATAAAACTAAAAAAACGTTTTCTGCCTCTCCTGAACAATTTCCACATTGTTACTTATTCTGATATACTTAAATATACAGGATGAGTCAGTCATAATGTCACTAATTTTAAGGGAAATAGGGAAACATTAGTAGAATACGAATACGTGATTTAAAAAAATAAAATGCATATTTGCGCTGAAAGAAAATATTTTCAAATTATTAGGTATTTTCCTTTTCGGACCGCTACTGACTACTAAGTCACAAAGGTTTACCGAGAGTGAATCTTGACCTACCGTCATATTCGGTCATTAATCTACCTTTTAATGCGTTTTTAATCCATAGTGAACGACAACGAATAAACAGAGCTTTTTAGCTAGACAAATAAATGAATAAGATATATTTTTTTAAAAAATAAATATTAACAAGTATTTATTTGTTAATAAAAACAAATGTATAAGGATAATAATTGTTCCCGAATGTTAGGTTGTTACAGTATTTTTAATATTGTCAACGCTATAACTATGTTTTATAATTGAATATGAGTTATTAGTATTATGTTCAATTAACTATTCAGTTTGTAGTACGTATTACGTGATTTGCTGCTTTTCAAAGAGTAGTATGGTACCTACTTGTTTAAAATGTCAGTACGGCTAAAAAATACTCATTCCTCCATAGTACGTTGTTAATAAAGTTGGGACCCGCTGCATTTTGATTTTGAAACCAATTGCAAAATTCAAAACGACTGAGGAAATCAGCTGTTTCGCTTCAAAGTTCGTTGCGTAGTAGGACGCCGATTAACGAGAGTTGAAATATAGACTAAACATATTTTTTAAATTCTCTGGCTTTATTAGGGTTTCCGAATACGTGGTTAAAATTAACGGCGTTATGACTGAATCGTATGTATAATACAAAACCCTCATTAAATAACTTTTTGTATATAATGTTACCTGCGGCACTCCAGTTAAATATCTCGCACATCGTAGTGCTTGGTCAGGACCTTTGTCTGGAAATGTGGCAGGAAAAATCTCTCCAGTCTTTATGTTAACGCCTATTCCATAAATTATAGGCCAATGAATTCCGCCTCTTATAGTCGTATTCAGTTCTCCGACACAGGCCAGTGTCAAATCTATCTCCATCGGATGTTTATGGAAGCAACCTGAAATTTAAAACACATGAAACGCATTCAACTTATAATTATTAATTCTTCACAACGAAACTCAAGAGAAGTGCGTGGCAATAACACGATTTTATAAAAAAAATGTTGCAAAATAAGTAAAGTTTGTTTTGTTATTTATGTTATTTATTTTTTTGTTATACTGTCCAACAGACTATGCAATTAATAAATTAATTGAAAGTTGATTCTAAAGAGTAGTACTGGAATGAAATATATCTGTTATGGACCAAGTGATCAATCGGGCATTACACATAATGCCCGGTAATTATGTAAAATGCCCAATATGAGTGTGCAATTTGATAATAATTATTCAAATAATCAAATTGACCGGGCATTATACATATTGTCCATCACCTTTTGGGCGGAGTAATACAAACATATTTAATTACTATTTTTTTATTATTATTGTCATTTAACTTAAAATAAACTAAATGTTAGACAATTTAAATAATCAGACTCATTATTTGGATTAATTAGCAAGGACTTCTACATTAAGAATCCACTAGTTTCTGCATTTAAAACTTAAGGAAAGTCATATTAAAAATATAGGTAACACAAAACATATAAAATTTGAAACAAACATTTCACAACATATCTTTGTTTTATAGAAGTTTTGACATATTATAAAACATAAAATAAACGAAAGTTTAAGCAATCAGACTCATTATTTGGCATAGTTAGCATATAATAGTTTTCAGCACTTTAAACTTAATAAAAGTCAAATGAAAATTTAGCTTTATTATCAAATTGCCCAATTGTCACGTAGCAATATAATAATGACCGTGCAATGTGATATATAATGAAGTTTAGATAGTAATTAATCACTTAGCCCGATAGAGCTAGACATTATTCATAATGCTCGCACATTATTAATAATGCCCGCATTAATCACCTGGTCCATAACATATCCATAACGTTGTCACAATTCCAGTCCTATTGAGTCTGTTAACGATTCAAGTTTTTTTCCAGTCATTTTTTATTAACAAAGCTATTTATTAGCACATTTATTGGTTACACTTTTTTTTTAATAAAATTTTTATACTTAAATATAACAAAAGAAGCGTAATTTTGAGTACATTACTTATTACATATTTTTTAACCGCCTTTTCAATTCTTTCTACTGTCTGTAAAAACTAATTAAGGTTAATTTGTCTTAATTTTTAGAACTCAAACATTTTGTGATTCTTTTATTCCATAAATCCGCAATAGTTTCAATTAACTTTCATGGTTTAAATAACACCATGGTACATAATCCAAATGGGAGGACTTTAAATGGCTATTATCTTTATGAGACTTGTGAATTTGCAACAATTTTAGATTATTGAGTAATTGTACTTTATTCTAATAAGCCGAGCTTTGAAATCTATTGTATGGAGGAAAATTACGGTTATGAATTAATAAATGTTATAGTTTGTTGAAGTTATAAGTGGTCACTTGGTCTAAAGTTATAGCCATTCGATTTTTTACATAGAGAAAATTGATTTAGAATGTTAACACCCATCTGTGTGACAGCTGCACCTTCATTTTCTTTAAATAAGAAAAAGTATCGAGTACGACTTCATTTCAATGGGCTTTATCATCACTTGGATGGCCAATAATTTATTGATAGTTTTTGGAAGAAAAAGAAAAAAATTATCCGTTTATCAAATTGATCAAATAAATCAATTTTGTTGTTAATCGGTTTGGAACTCAAAAAATGTAAAGAAGCAAAAAGTGAAGGTAATACAATAGCGCTACCTATTTTATTTGTAATATTATACAGGGTGATATATATTTTTTTGCCAAATAATGATCGATGATACCCACACCGCCACTGGGACGTTTCTAAAGCTGGTAATTTTTTTGTTTCATATCTACTGTCATATGCACACCGAAATCGATTAAATTATCTCAAGCGGTTTGGAAATAAAAAATTAAAAACTAATTTATTTTTTAATTACACGCTGTAGCCGAACAGTGGCTGTCTTAGGACCCCACATTTATGTAACAAAAAACCCTTATTTTTGGGCACAGACTACGCCACTGGATTTTTGACCTCTACTTAAGAAACACCCTGGATATTGGAATATTGTTCCTTCTTTTCTATTTCGACTTCATTACGATTGTATTTATGTAAGATATTTAATTTTTAAATATATAAATTTTTTAATTTCTGGTATTTTAATTTGATAATTTAAATACTTACTCATCACATTATAAAATAGTTCATCGGAATAATGTCGTGGATCACTAAATCCTCCTACTATCTGCAACTCTATGCGGCCTTCTGGATATCCCAGAGCTAATTCCTGTACTCTTTGGACCATTGTGCACACTGCTTCATCAGTTCCAGAGCCATCTAGATGAGCTAGCGCTACTGCACCAGAACCTGACATGAAAAATGTATTTTCAATACTATGATAAAATATTATTTTATTTTATTTTAACCAAAAGTCAATTCCCTATGGGACACAGCAAAGGACTGCCCTATTCTAAAATCAGGTGATGCATACGCAATAACTAATTTAACAACACAGAGTTTTTGCATAGATGACGATCGCAATCTGCCTGTATCAAAAATAATTTCCCTGAAGAATTTGCCAACGATAATACCCTCTTGATTCAACTCGGTAAAATTAACAGTTTAGGAAATATTTGTGATTTATGTCACAGTGCTCATCGAGTGGCGCCTCCACAATTTTTCGTTTTTAATTTTTAATTGCACAAAATTATTATGTTAGAAGCGTACATATTTTCTAAATAAGAGCCTAGAATATCTTACTGTCTGCTAATGTCATCTTCACTAACAAAATTTGACAAACACACTTTACACATAACACAAAATAGAAAAACAAAACAAGAATAAGTTAAAGTAAGTTAAAAAAATAATTTAAAAGAAAGAAAACTATCAAAATACATTTTAAATGTCGGCATTTTCCACCTTTACACACTTCCTAAGTCTGCGAATGTTATTTGTTTGTACCCGAAAAAGCATTTCTGGGCTATGTCTAATATTATCACAATGGAAATTAATTCTTTGTAGCAATTCATCCCTTGTCTGTACTGGGGTTGCGTACACTAAACTTCCCGATCGGGTTAAAGTCTGGAGAACATGGTGGCCATGAAATTGGGTCTCCTCTCCCAATCCATTTATTATTATTAACACAATGGATATATAATTTCGTACATCAATATTGAAATGGGGAGGAGCCCCATCGTGCATGAACCAAACGATTCTTCGGGTGTCTAATTAACATCGTCTAATAGTAGTTGCAAATTATTGTGCAGAAACTCCAAATATCGATGTCCATTCAGACGTTGCTCAAAAACATATGGACCTATTAAATTATTATTCTTTTCGTGTATAAACAAATAAAATTCGTAGGCTTAGGATGTGTGTGAAGGTGGAAGGTGTCGATATTGAAAATGTATTTTGATAGTTTTCTTTCTTTTAAATTATTTTTTTTACTTTTACTTATTCCTTTTTTGTTTTTCTATTTTGTGTTATGCATAAAGTGTGTTTGTCGAATTTTGGTAATGAAAATTACATTAGCAGATCGTAAGATTTTCTCAGATCTTATTTTAAAAATATGTATGCTTCCAATATAGTAATTGAGTGCAATTAAAAATTAAAAACAAAAAATGGTGGATGCGCCGCTCGATGTGCACTGTGACATAAAATCACAAATATTTCTTAAACTGTTAATTTTACCGAGTTGAACAGAGAGGGTGTTATTGTTGGCAAATACTTCAGGGAACTAATTTTTATACAGGCAGATTGCGATCGTCATCTATGTAAAAATTCTGGGTTGCTAACCATTGGGCATAGTCCGTCCCTGGCGTTCTGGACATAATGAAGTTTCACTTACAACATCAAAACCAAGCTTTACGCACGTATTATCGATCACTAAATTTGCATCATGCTGAAGTTAATGGTTTAGAGACTGTAAATGAATATAGCTTTTTAATTTTCACCTTTCGTAATTTGTTAACGAAGGCCCATATAAAAAAAATGTATGTGGAGAACTGATATTATTTTGACCTCATCTATCTGCACTCGATTTTTTGTATCAAGTACCGGGGCACCCTGTATACGAATAGGGTATTCGCAAATGTTTGACCAAATCGTTTGAAAAAAATAAATAGTTAACGACTTCAATTAAATTCTTAGAGATGATGATGATCGTGACGTTGACCTCTCATAATTTAGTATACCAGCAGGACTCTAGGCTGCGTAATGATCTGAGAAACCATTCGAGTGGATTTATCATTGCTGGTATGTGTAACAATTCGTCTTGAAGATTACACGTTCATAACAACCGTTGACTTAGCTTGAGGTGTAAATAAGTGATTGGGTGCGTCTAATGTGTTCGAGCAATTACGAACACATGCAAGCCTTTTGGCGCCCATATTTTTTAAGCAGAGACCGCATTAGATCGACCGACTGCATGTCTTTTCCAATATTTATAGATACCAGATATGTAAAATAATAATAGGTTATAGTCCAACCAAATTACACTTAGAGAAAAAAAAATTTTACCTGGACTTTTATAAGTGGAAACGAAAAAATAAATAAATCCGTGAGCGAGGGTGGTGGACGGTGGATTTGGGGGGTTGAATAGTGGTATTATTGCGATTATTGGCGAAAGTTGACATAAAAAAAGTATCTAATATAAAAGTTGTAGATCTTGCAAAAATCTACAACTTCATTCTAAAGCCTTCTTTTTATGGGAATATGTGAAAAGTGTTGTGTATTCCACGGAAGTTCGTGACATCGACCAACTGCGACATCGTATTGCCGAAGCTTCGAGAGGACGTGACAATGTTGCAACACGTGCGAGCGAATTGGATACGTCGCGCTGAATCTTGTGTACAAGCAAATGGTTGGGTACATCGAACATCTTCTATGAAAATCAGCAGTTTTTAAAAGGTGGCAAGTTACATTTTACTCAACACAAATTCGTGTATTTACCTCATTTTGACCTAACGGACATGTGGCAAAAATATTTGACATAAGTTTCATTAACACCCTGTAGGTATAAAATATAATTTGGGTGCAATGAAAAATATGTTTAATATTTCCACACATCGATTGTAAATTGTAAAATTTGAATTGTGAAAAATGAACTGAAAAAACTTGGAAAAAACTGTTTATTTAACATTTGCAGTACCATATAAAAGAAACAGCTATGCAGACAAAAATTGAACAAAGGCGTTTTATATACGGCAAGAAAAAGAAAGCCAGCATCGCTATAGTTGTAGAGCCGGCAAGGAAATTACTAGTTGCGAAACCTTTATAAAATGAAAATTACACAACGCAAAAAATAGACACGATTGGGCATTTCGATTTGTTATCATTACATTGGCATGTCAAATAAAATTGCCAATTAATTTTATTGCAAATTCCCCATACTCTTGGGCGCAACATTGTTATTATGATATTTTGTAACACCTGCTATCCAGTTCATGACTGCAATCTTTACCAACGTCAATTACGTGCAGGAAAATCTATAATATTAGTCGGTACACGAAGGTATGAGGGATTTTTTAAATTCTGTAAATAATTTAATCCGCATTGAGCAATGGGATATCGTACCAAACAGCGTACTTGAACACAGCGGTCAAATAAATACAACAAATTCGTAGAATTTGTATCTAAGAATATCAATTAATATCACACGTGATCACGTTTGCTGCATATAACGAAACAAGGTATTCTTTGTATTGTCTAATGGAAATCTATTATCTTTTGTCAAAAGTATGATGGAAACCAATTACAAAAGAGAGCAATTGAATGGGAAGGTGAGATCATATTGAAGATATATTATATGTAGATGAAATCGTCATTAGATCAAAGGAAATAAATATATTTCTCAAAAAAATATGTATATCCGTGCAATGAGGGAAATCGACAAAGTTTTGTTAATTGTAAGATAATCTTTATTACAATTGCAATTTCGCTTGTTAATGTTAAAATATCATATGCCAAGCTCAGTACAAATTATTTTTATTTTAACACGATTTTACAATTTTAAGTAGCTTCTTACTTTAGTTTTTTCAAATTAGGTTCAACAATTCTTAAACCATATCTCTTTATATGTTTCAATGAAGTAAACAATGATTCAGCATGATATACGCATGATAAGCACTTGATTGAGAAACTATTATTCAATCCCCACCAATCATCAACGAATACAGAATCGGTCAGATCGTATAATAGTCGTCATTTAGTGCGTATCATTTGTGGTTTAATTTTGTTACAGTTTTCTGATGTGTTGCAATAATATAAGACGTATAGCACCGACCCATCGAAATAGCTTATTTAAAACATTTAAAAGGAAAATTTCTTGCAAAAAAATCGTTAATAAACAATTTGGAAAAAAGCAAAAAATTCGATTTTCTGATTTTTGTACTTTGTTGCCTTTAGTTTTTTTTTTGAGTTAAGATAGGTATAGGCATTGTTTCATAGAAAAAAAAAAGTAGATACAATTTTCTTCAAAACAAGAGGTTGTAAAGTATTTTTGGATGAAAACTGACTGATATGGCCGTTCAAACTTAGCCAATTTCTCGATTTTCGTCGCGTTTACCTTTATACGTTTTAATTCTCATTTTTTTCAAAAAATGCAGGAAATAAGACGTTCAAGGATTTTCATCACATGACTTGTTCGAAAGGTCATTAAAAAAAGATAGGAGTGAAAATGCACTTTTGCAGTTTTTTTCATATAGCACGAAAACGAAGCAAAATTTCGGTATAGTTCATAGGAAAAATTTTGTACATAATTGAACTTCTCATCGAAATGGCTTATTTAAAAAATGTAAAAGGAATATTTTATGCAAAAAATCATTAATAAACAATTTTAAAGAAAGCAAAAAATAAGATTTTTTGATTTTTTAGTTTTTTAATAAAATAATTTAGTAAAAACTTAAGAATTTAAGTACAATAAAGTCCATTAATAATGTATATAGAACGTGTCGACGGATGGAGTTGACAAGAGGAGAAACTCTTTTGTTTTTGACTATATCGAAAAATGTCGCTCTTTATAAAAAGTTCTGCCCCTCGAAAATATGAGACTGTCATACAAGCAGCTTAGATTAGATATACAGAGTGCTCATAAATTAAAAAAAAAACACGAAAATACTCAACACTAAACAAATCTGTTTATAACCTCAAATAATGTCCTAATGCAAAATAAAAATTTCAATTCTGACTTTTACTCTATATGTATAGTTACGTCCCACTTCGAAAATTGAAATTTTGATTTTAAAATTTATATTAATATAATTTTATAATTTAGGTATATAATGCATTTGAGGTTATAAACAGATTTTATTAAAAAATGTTGAAAATTGCTTGAACGTTTTTTTTTATGTAATCAATACTCTATTATTTGTGAATCGTCTTTTTAACATGTTGATAATTTGAAGTAAAATATAATTATACTTACTCAGGTTCATTCAACCACAAATTGTATATATCTTTTTACAGTGATTGTACACATCTCACAAATATGTGGATATATCTTAAGTGTAGTCAGTATAACAGAGATAAAATTACCTAATTAGTCTAAACAGATAAAAGCGTCTCTAATATTTAGCGCGATTAAAGACGAGACGTAGTTTGGAGTCCCCAGCAACAGCGTGTTACATATTTATGAATATGCATCTAAACCGTTTACAATTTTTCTAGAACTCTGACATTATTTTTAATATATATAATATAACTAGGAACCTAAACTAATAACTTTTTAAATGTTTTAGGATGTACTGTAAACAAATGGTATTTATAAATACAGGGTGTCCGCAAATTTCACTGACAACGTTTAACTGCATATTCACGACGATAAATAAATACGATCTACGAAAAAAAAGTTAAATAAAAACTTTTTGGTTTTTTAGTTACAACCTTTCAAAGTTGTCAGATATAAAATTAATTTAATTAATAACGCTTTTGCCGATCGCATTAAAATTTGGCACATTTATTTGGACTATTAGGGCGTATTATTTCTTAAAGCTTTCTTAGTCAAATCGATATACTGGGTATTTTTAAAAAACGGGCAGCATCATTGAAAAGGTGATTTTATATTAAAAAATATTGTCTCTTGAGAAAATCGTCTACAGAAAGCCATTCTTGAGAAAAATGGCATTATTTGCAGGTTTGTATGTTTCGGTTTGCAAAGCAATGTCACGGATTTAAAACTTTGATATTAGTAGGCGATGAAAATAAGATGTTGATTGCTATGGCTATAAGGTAATGTCATTATGGTCGTGTTTCTTTAGGATTCTCGTCACTCCACACATGCAAATTATGAAAATTTACAACTCTGATCCTTGTAAAACAAGATTTGTCGGTGCAAAAATATTTTTGAAGCAAATTATTATCTTCTGCGAAGCCATACCAGCGAGTGGAAAAATTGTAATTGTGCGTTGGGATCTAAATTTTCAAGTTCTTGAGCAGGAGTTAAATGAAATGTCCAAAGAGGTTGCTTTTTAAAGTTTTGTGAACATTAGTTTTACATACATTTAATTGTCTTGATACACTGCGGACACTTCATAATTTGCATGTGTGGAGTGAAATTTGCGGACACCCTGTATTGTCTTCTTTAGGAATAAGAATTTTTAACCTTTTTTTATGTAAAGAGCTATTTTGTAATCATTATTTCTCATCTTTCATATAACTCGGGTTTGAATATATTGGAATTATTCATTAAGCTATTTATAACGCATGTTTGCTTTCATTTTCAAAATAAACCAACTCTTATCAACACCACGGCATTGTAAAAAATGGTAATTTGTAAAATACGAGTCGTTTCTAAAGGCGTAAATTATAATAAGAACGGCCTGAACCCAGAACCTTGAATAAGTTTCGAATCGCATATCGAGTGCCACATAAATTTCGATGTTTGTCTCCGAGGGACAATGATTTAGGCATTCTCCTTCATACTGAATCTCCTAAAAAATACTGTCGTCCCCATTCCACAGGTAAAAGTCCTTTAATTTAGGAGTAAAACTGGTTAATATGATGAAAGACAACATACTAACATGAAGATCAAATTAGAGATTATCGTTTTCTTTGAATAGAAAGGCCTTTTGCGCAAATCATGAAAATCGTTTTGTTCAAAATTTTATGGCAGTAATTTATTTAATTGATTTACTGCAAATGATTGCAACACATTTTTAACAGTTCGATACACGAATGTCATAACAAAACTTTATACATATTGAAGATATACTCGTAAATCGTACTTGTTTTTAGTATTTAAAAAAACGGGGAAAATATAATTCATGGAGCTGACAAATTCCACAATTTCACAAAAGTTTTATTTTAATACAAGTTTAAACACATGTTTCATTATTTTCTATTAGGAAATCTTATATTTTATTTAGAGTCCGGATTTTTGAACAATTTAAGTTGTAGAACTCTATCCGGTAAAATAGGAGTAAGAGTAGTTACCTACGAATAGTTAGAGCAGTTTTTAAAACAGTCAACTAGTTGTTGGCACACTGACGGTTACAAAACTCCAGACGATACTGGAGCCAATATACAGGGTGGGCCATTAGTGTGAGAAAGTAAAATAACTCCTTTGTTATTCGTAATACAGAAAAAAAGTTTATATAAAAGTTGTACAGAATCAAAAAACCTAAAGGCCAAAATTAATTTAAAACACACAGGGCAATGAGTAAACATGGGACACGCCAAATATTACACTTTTTAAATGGAACACCTGTATATTTTTAAACATATGGATTTCTGAGAAAATTCTGTATATAAATATAAATACAAACAGTTAAACATTTTAGTGCGGGGTTGCCAAGTTATGTAGAAAATTCTTGAATTTTGAAAAAACATGACCTCGAAAAAAACTTTCAACTACTAACACTTAGGGTTATAGGCAAATGTTAGGCAAAGACTCCTATATTAGCTAATATGGATATTTTATATAGGGCATTATTATAATACGATCATTTTAAGAAAGTTCAAACTTGATTTTCTGAAATTTTTCAAATGGGACACACTGTATTTTATTGTTCTATTTTATTCACATATCAGTTCACATCAAGTTTTATTAAGTATGTTCTACACTTAAAGTTATTAGTTTTTAAGATATGGCAACATTTCTGGGAAAAACTAATTTTTATTATTTTCGGTCGCACGAAATGGCTTTGTAAAAAACTGTCACTTTGTGTCAACCTGTCAGTTCATAATTTATCATTCCATTTTGAGTTAATTTTATTAATTAATATGTATTTGTGGTATTCTATAAAATAATAAAAATTAAGTTTTTAATGTTGCTATATCTTAAAAACTAACAATTTTAGATATAGAGCATGCTTAATAAAAGTTGAAGTGGACCTATATGTGAATAAAAAGAACAATAAAATACATTTGAAACATTTTAGAAAATCAAGTTTAAAATTTCTAAAAATGATCTTATTATAAAAATGCTCAGTATAAAATATCGATATTAGCTAATATAGGAGCCTTGTCTAACATTTGCCTACCTTTAATTATTTCGTTCCAAATGTTAGTAACTGAAAGTTAATACAACTTCTTCAAGGTCATATTTTTTCCAAAATTCGAAGAATTTTCTAAATAACTTGGCAACCCCGCACTAAAATGTTAAACTGTTTTTATTACCATATATAGAATTTTCTTTAAAATCCATGTTTAAAAATATACAGGGTGTTCCATTTAAAAAATGTAATATTTGGCGTGTCCCGTTTTTGCTCACCACCCTGTATGTATCAAATTGCAGTTTAGGTTTCTTGATTCTGTATAACTTTCATATAAATTTTTTTTCTGTATCATGAGTAAAAAGGGAGTTATTTTACTTTCTCACACTAATGGCCTACCCTGTATATGGTTCCAATCCGAGGACCAGTCCATAAATAACCTATGAAAGTATATTTGGCTGTGCCGTCGAGTTGTGTGTGAATACTGAAGCATTAGTAACATACACTCTAGTCAACTTAGCTGTGATAGCTCTGGTTGTAACTCAACAACTGTATGGAACCATAAAAAAAGCTTTAGCGAGGTAAGGAAATAACAACACAGTCAGTCTGGTTTGGATTAATGGTAATTCAGAATGAGGTGACAAGCTCTCTAACAAGGGAGGGTGATGTCTCGAATTTAACTTGATCAGAGTTAGCTCTGGGTATAATTTCGACTACTGCCAAAAGGCCCACCTGGCACGAATGGGAGAAAAGAACATTGGTCTTCAAGCCAGTTAAGATATCACCAATATAAGCTGGGCTTAGTCGAAGGGGCTGAATGCTTATTGTTTAAAGAATGAAGAAACGGCAGAATACATCTAGACAAAACTTCTGGCAACGAGGTCATTTGCTTTATTAGGAAGTTAAACCTGTTGGACGAAATATAAATTAGGATAAGGAACTCAATATAAACTAACCCAATCCCAATAGGTAATAGTTTTAGTGGTAATAAGGTTTTGAAAGAATCTCGTGATTTCAAAATTCAAATCTATTTAAGTAGAATTGATCTGTACAAGATTGTAGACTCTGAAATAAAGCAACAAAGACTACAAATCACAGGAAATGGAGTTTCTCCCTCTTTCACTAAAAATATATGTGTTTCCTCCTAAGTCGAGTCTATGCTATAACTTGATGAAGTATTTTCTGTCATTTTAGCCTTAATATAATATCTGAAGCTACTGACATTGAGAGATTAAAGTTAGAAATAAATATAGGAAAGTTGGGATAGTGCTATAAATCAATAAATAATAAAATCATATCAACAAATGAGTGGATAATACTGAGAACACTGTTAGCAACAACTCCTGAATTTGTCGAGGTTAATTTTTTCGTTAAATTATTAAAAAATATATATTTTTTCCTTTATTTGAAAAAAAATAGTTATTTTGTAGTACCCAACTTTTATAATGGAAATTAATAAAGTATTAATAATTAATTTCAATTACCTTGCTGCATTTGAAGTATGTATAAATGAAATATAAAACATTAGATAAAATTGTAACATAAGGATTGACATTTTTATCAATATTTAAAATTTTCTTACCAGAATGACGAACTACCACGATAAGGCAAGTGGTAACATCATCAGCTCCGAGAATGCTTACATTTTCTAGAATCGAACATGTAATTAGTTGGTTATAAAATTATGTTACTAGTTACTCACTGTCATGGGGAACAGTAGCGGCTAGTTCCCGTTGTTGGACATACAGTAACCCGACAGGTCCAATTATTTTGTTCGGCACAGCCAACAGTTGTGCTGCGGTCTCTCTATATACGGGGTGGGTGTGGTAGAGAGATCGCGTATCCGGAGGACAGTCTTCTTGTAGGACCCCATTTAGAACTAGAACCATTCTGCAACTGAAATTAAAAAGAACTGTAAAAATATTTTGCGCTTTAAATATTGAAAATAACAAAATTGCAAAGATTAACAACAGATAACAACATGTTAGGACTTTATCTAATATGAAAGTCATAATTTTGATATAAGAACATAGTGCCACAAAATAAATGGTAAAGTGAGAATTCTGAATGGATTCACAACAATTTGACAACAAAAATTTCAATCGTGACAAGATATCACAAAACGATTTTATTAATTTTTGGCATGATTTCGTATAATCAGTACAGTATAATGAACTGGCTGCCATGCATTGGGTATATGGAATATGTAGAGTAATTCATTAGCAAGGCGATATACTAAAAAGTTTCCTGGTCCAGAATTTCTCACTCCGGTATATTTGCTGTAATAATTAACCGAAGATATCGAGGAAAAGATGTTCAGTTTTAACTCATATAGAAAAACGTGAATTTGAACCTCTACAAACTTTGGAAATTCTGGAAAAAGAGCTCGACAAGTATTTGCAAATGTTAATGGGAATTCCATTCGGCGAGTGACAATTAATATTTTACCAAAAATGGACAGCATTTCGAATAATCCCGATGTGTATTTCTCTCTTACATAGTATTGTCGATGATATTGGATTCTTGTTAAAATAATCTATTATTTGACTGCTCCAATTATTACTATCTCTTTCATCGTTTTTTCTTAGCATGTCGCTTTTCAAACCTTCAAAACATTCTCAAATTAGTAATTATAGAGAAATATATTTCATTTGGTAGTTGTCTTTCGGGATAATTTACAATATATCTGTTGAAAGTCACAGTTGCTTTATATTTTTATTACTTTTAATAAAGCACTCCAACATTTTTCTTCATTGGAATAACGCAAACCGTAACTTTTTCACTCAACGCCGTGGCACTAATGGTAAGCTTTTACAAAAATTTTAAACTATTCTACAGGGTTTTAAAAGTTTGACTGCCTTAATTTTAACAGACGATAGAATACATTAAAATAAACAAAATAATCTTTGGACAGCTTTTAGGTATCATTGAAAAAATTCTAAAGTAAACAGAATAAACAAAATAATCTTTGGACAAAAACCGGCTCGATTATTTGGGGATTTTCCCGGGTTATTTCGTTATCCTCCGTTTCAAATTGTCTCCAGAAAGCCATACTAAATTACTAGCTACAGATATATAGACATATAATATTTATTTCAATAACTATTATCCTTTACTGGTTACGATATGAATAAATATTAATATTAACTAATAATTAATAATACGTATTATACCAACAATGAATTTACCACGCCAAGCACTGCTCTTTACGGCACTGACAAAGCCAAGTGAACCGCGTTTGACACCAAACTAATTATAAAATACCATGCAAAACATATTTACGACCTAGTAGACCAATACAGGTTTGCTTTGACGACCAGCGCGCCGCCGTCGATTCTACATCAGGCGGATTGGTCTACCAATATCGGACTCGCCCAATGGCTATTCGAGTATAAATTACGAGACACATCATGGCTAAAGCATAGGAAGAAATTTTAAGAGAAGTGCAGACGGTCTTGTGCTTTGAGATTCACAGGTTCCAATTGATATCGTAACAACTATACTAAGCTGTCCAGCGATACGCAGGTCAGGTAGTATCTGGAATTGGACCGTGTCTGAGTGTTTTTTGCGTACCACTATTGAGGTGTTTTCCGGCGAGTGCGCGAAAATTGGATTCGATGGTGTCGTGCGTGTTTCGATTTTTGATAAATACCTAAATTATTTTTAATACGTATGATTATTTGGACGACGTGAATCTTTGGGTACTTTAATTACATATTTTTCAAATTCATAATTGGATTAAAAGTTAAGTTCCTTTTTTAAGATATTCATAATTACTAGAATTCGAGTTAAAATTTAAACACAACACTATCTTCGTACTACAAAATCGATACATTCTATTTTCTTTATTTAAAACTAGAAAACAATTAATTGTCTTAAAATTTACCAAATTTTTCACAATAATAATTGTTTACATTTTTGTTATTGCGTAGGACAAGCCTGCAGCCAGCACACGTGGTGTGCATCAGCTGTGTAGCATTCGGTTAAGCGCTGTTGCCACGTTGTGATGAAACTCCCCAATATTAATACTCGCTCTATTTTGAGAACTATTAATCTGACGCCTCTGTAATATACAACTTTTTTGTTCATTTATGATTATTCTATCTCATACTGAAGTCATTACTTCTTACATTACATTACTGTAGTCAAACTTCTTACATTTTGTGTAATAGTTTCGAAGAATTATGCGGCGTTGCTAGATTTATTAAAAATATTAAAATATTAATTTTTAAGGTTGATTTTGAATTTTTTTGGTACTTATATATTTGAAAAAATAAACAAATGCTCAATTTGCTCAGTATAAATTCAATATGGCGCCCATAAGAAAAAAAAATTGTTGATGATGGTTTCTCGCAACCGAAACGTTGCATGAATATCTAAAAATAAAGTAAAATTCCTCGAAAAAACTTGCTGTGAAACAGTGTTTTTTGCTATTAAATTATTAATAATTCTATAAGTTTTTTTTACTCAAAAACAACGCATCGGAGAACAAAAACTCAAGAGAGTTCTTATCTTTCAAATTGAAGGGGAATTTCAAAAATAATTTTATTTGCGGAAAAAACCATTGGCGTATCATTTTATTAATATCAAAGTCAGTGCTCGTACGCACGCCACCGTTAAAATAAAATAATGTTTGAATTGAAAAACATGCTTCTTTATTAACTACCACTACGTACCAAATATCACTGAAATATCTCAAGCGGTTTCGAAAATATTAATCGATTTCCTTCTTTTTCCTAAAATTTTAATACCCCATATCCGCAACGGAACATTTTTGGACCATACTTTATAAAGCAAACTATCATTAATTTTCCATGTAGAATCACACCCTTAATATTCGCATATCATTAAGGAACGCCCTGTATATACTTTTAACTTTTAGATAATTATATTTTTTAGTGCATGTAGTTGTTTCTTTAGATTAATAAGAATTTGAAAAATTCATAAATATAATATGAATCAGCTTATAAAACACATGTAAACACATTTTAATGCTCTTAAGGTCAATAATTCTTGCAATATCTTGTGCGAATGAATAATTCTATATCCATTCCCAATGATAAGCGACACTGACACTCATTAATAATATAAATATTTCCAAAATATTATTAAAATTATATTTCATTGTTATTTACGTACTGCCATCAAGTATAACCGGTTACGATAATAATTAATTACTCGAGAAAACTTCGCAAATTATACTTGCTTAAGCGCATACTTCAATTTAAATCGGCCATTAATTGCTGGCACTACAACTTTGTACAGACCGTAATCCACCTGAGAAGTATCATACGATGGACCGCAAGACTGGACACTCCATTTATCAATACCAACGGGCACGAATAAATTAACATTGTCTTACGATGAACAGCGGGATTAAATGGCATTAAGTGATTTATCATAAAACGCCGCGAGGAAATCCAATATCCGCATTTTATGGGGCATCGATGTATCACTGGACATAAGCGATTCACTTCCCGTACCTTGGTCGTCTACCACGGAGATTAATTTAATGGTGTATTTATTGCGTTAGTTGAACATGAGTCATATTAAGCTCCTGTCACAATAGTAGTTATTTTTGAATCGTTGCTGCAAGAAACTGGAATCGATTAACAATGACTACTGGAACCCTGTTTTAATGTCGGAAACTATAAAGGAAAGAGAAAATTTTAACAGATATATATTTGTTAATAATGAGTTGTCCGACAGGATTTGATTCTGATTGTGAGTGTTCGTAATATATTTGAAAAATAAATCATTATTAATGTCAATTATTATGTATATACAGGGTGTCCCTGAAAAGGATGGACAACAATTGACCACAGGTTCCTGTAAAAATAAGAATATTTAGTCTAACTTACCTATTACCAAAGTGCATGCCTACTGAGATATAGCCTTCTAAATATAGAATAGATAACCTAGTTTTTTTTTTAAATAATTTGAAAACTATTTTTCTTAGAAACCTCAAATTTGGTACACTTATTTTTTTGTATAAGGGCAATGTAAATAAAAAATTTGGTGATCAAACATATACAGGATTTTCTCTTTCTAGCGCCTGTGCGCCACTGGCTATCCTGTAATTTTTTTGTGTGTACACCAGTGACGTCAGAATTTATATTTTTTTAAAATAAGCACTATTTTGTAAGATTTTTTGCTTTTACAAAATTTTTATATCGTTTATGGATTTCGAGTAAAATTAGCAATAAACACATTAAATATAGGCAAAAATTCCGATTTGTAAAAAATAATTTTTAATGAATAATATAATGAATAATGAAAAAACTTCACATTAAAAAAAAACAAAATTAACTACACATTTTTAGTCTGATCAATCAATAAAATCAACACTAGTATTTTAAATAAACAATATCAACTAATAATGTAAGAAGTCAACATTAACATTTTAAATAGACCTAAATTGATATTTATAATCACATTAAAATAATATTACAGTAAATGCTCAAAGTGACTTCCTTGTTCTTGAACGCAAGCATTAATTCTTAGGAAATTAAAATGAATTTTATCCAATAATTGTGCATTACCTCTCATAACATTAATTTCATTCTGTGCTCTTTCCTATAATTCGTTTTCTGTATTTACTGAAAAGCTATAAACTGAGGTCCTCAACACTCCCCAAAGGAAATAATTACATGGGTTTAGGTCCGGGTATGAGGTGGCCATTTTAAGAGGGCATTAGTTCCTTCAAAACAAACAAATACTGTGACATTAGTTTTCCACTGATGACATATTTTTGGTAATATTTGAGTAGCCAACTGTTCCCTTATCTAGTAATTTGTGGTTTAATGCACGCTCAAGTTAGTCGCTCATTTATACACATTTCTGAATACCAGAATTGAGAATGAGATGAGGGCACCCTAAGTTGAGTGAAGCATAAG